TGTTTGGAAACCACCTCTCCAAGCTCTGAATGCCACAGCCCAAGCCAGTGCAGTGTCAGCCGCTACACTAGGAACACTGACAGGCAAACTCCTGCGTTAATGTACCTTTAAAGCACCCTCTCCTTTCTTTTCGGTTAAATCTGAGCATGTCCAGAGGCATTTCTGCCTATCATTTCAACCTTCCCAACATGTGCTTTTGGTATGCTTGACCTTGGGTTAAGCATACCAAAAATGTCTCTTTCCTTCTTGAATTATGACCTTAAAATGAGCATGCACAGGGATGGGCCAGCCCCTATACAGATGTGTGTAGGCTCCCTGGTAAATAAGTCCCATTGCTTCCCTTGCTGCAGGAGGGTATTATTTTGGAAAGAACTGCCCACTGGTCTTCACATTATTATCGTTTGTATTCAAGGAGATGCGAACCCTCAGCCCATTACAACCTTAGAATAGTGAGCTTGTGTTTTCTCCACCCTCCACCCTCTGTGGAGCTTTGGAGGCTGTCCTGGCATGCACTCTGTAGACCAGGCTGGTCTCAACTCACAGAGATCTGCCTGCCTCTGCCTCCAAAGTGATGGCAAATGTGTGACTGAGTGGACAGGGTAGGAACAAAGAGACGGGAAGCTACGGCTGGCTGCTCAATGGGAAGGCAGTAGAACATGTAAAACATATGCAGGGTACTCACGTTCTGCACTCATTTGGGGCATAAGCGTCCAGACATTTCTTTAAAATGAAGCCGTCCAGACTATGCATACAGCTACCTCGCATTCCATTTAGTTCATTTGACCAAGAAAAGCCTTAGACAGACTTGGTCAGTTTTGCTGTGTTCTGGAGTCACCTCCCATTCGAGAGCCCACCAGTGGGGAAACAAAACCACCTGCAGGCTCCGCTGCGACTTCTCCCTACTTCCGCTCCCTTTAACGTCTCGTGAACCGGCCGGCTTTCTCCAAGGTGCCAGCTACTCCATTTCCCTTTACTAATCTTGCTGTCTTCACCTGTCCCTTTCTGATGAACCCATCCACTCTTCCTACCCCTCTGATTAACACGCCCCACTGCTACCAGCCCCGCCAAAGTGAATCCACCCCCAGTGGCCACCCTCCCTCCCCAGGAGCCAGCTACTGACCACAGCATAAAGAAGGCGGTCCAAGCCGGAAGCACAAAGACTCTTACTCAATACACATGTTGAAGTGATGGACAAAGACTCCTGAGAGCAACCTCTGGCTCTGCACACACACACACACACACACACACACACACACACACACACGCACGCGCGCACGCACGCACGCACGCACGCACGCACACACACGCACCTGCAAACATGTACACACATGAAAAAGACAAAACAAAAAAACCCTGCTAATTAAAACACAACCATAGCTGGGCATTGGTGGCGCACGCCTTTAGTCCCAGCACGCGGGAGGCAGAGGCAGGTGGATCTCTGTGAGTTCAAGGCCGGCCTGCTCTACAGAGCTAGTTCCAGGACAGCTTCCAAAACAATACAGAGAAACCCTGTCTCGAAAAACCAAAATAAATAAATAAATAAAACACAACCATATGGCTAATGCATTCGATGACTAGCTACTGTCACAAGATACTGTTGCGTTCTTCCCATGAAAACTTACTAGCTGGTAAGTTATTATGTCTATAGTCACCCATACATAAGGAAATACAAAGGAGAAATTGAAGAGGTCATGTATATTGCTATGTGGTAGTGGCGTTTCTAAGCCTCAAAGATGGGAACAGCAAGTTTTAAGTCCTAGAAGTACACATTAGAGTCACATTAGTCCTGGCCTGGACCTACCTTTCCTGACTCTAAAGTTCCCAAGGAACATCTCTGTGGGAATCTAGTATTCTGTCAGTCAAACATGGTGGAGCAAGCCTTTAATCCCCGCACTTGAAGAGGCAAGCAGATCTCTGAAAGGCTAGCCTAGTCAACACTGAGTTCCATCCAGAGCTACATAGCATCCTGTCGAGAACAAGGCATGTTCTCTGCACTCACAGGCTCCACCAGCTATTAAGTACTTCCTGTTGGATGCCACCGGCTGTAAAGTACTTCCTGTTGGATGCAGCCCAGCATTGTAGACATCTTCAGCTATGTCCACCTGGTGCCAACATTTGCGTGGTTTCAGAGTGTCTTATTCAGCTTTTTTCCTGTGGGGCCCAGCATGTGAAGGACATTATGCCAATCAAAATAAGGTCACAAACCAGACAAACGCTGTGTGATTCTACCTGTAGGAAGGACAGGCACATCATGGAGATGGTGACGGCTCTCAGCTGCTGGAGAGGGGACAGTTTTGCAAGGTAGTGAGTTTGGGAGGCAGGTGGGGTGAGCATCCTACAATATAAATATACTGAATCCCACTGAACAATAAGTTGAAAATGGTTAAGATGATAAATTCTTTATTATGTGTGTTTTGCCACCAAAAAATTTTTTTTGATAAAAAAGAAAGGAACAGCTTGAACACTGTTTCTCAGCAACAGTATTAGCATTGTGCCACAGAGCCAAGGCAGCTACGGAATAAACGCTGCACATCTTTACATCCAACTCCCAAGTTCCCTTCCCTTCCTTCTGCTGACTGAAGCATTCCCCATCCTGCCAGTGAGAGCCAGCACCTTCTAAGTCACTGGCTCAGAAAACACAGCAGCTTTCCGCTACCATTGCGGGCTAAGCTAGACAGGCCAACAAAGCAAAGACAGCACCCTGTGTGGCTGCTGCATCTATCTGTCTAGAGACAGACAGACAGATACACACACACACACACCGTATGAACAAATTTATTTTCCAAATTAAAGTCATAACTTTTGTCTATATTTGGTACCTCTAACTGGTTGGGGAGCAGGGCGGGGGCGGATTCCACTATGGATATTGTTGTCTTTTTTCCAAATGAATCTGACTCTATTCTCTGTGTTTCAAAACTAAAAACACCTATTTAACGCAATAAGAAATCCACAGAATCCAGGAAAACCAGTCCATTATTTTTTCCAAATGAAATGCTTTTTTTTTGTTAAGGCTTACAAGTGCAAACTCACTGATAGGTCACCCTAAGAAATCTTCCCTGGAGCTGGAGAGACGGCTCCCTGGGGAAGGAAGCTTGCTGCCAAGCCTGATGACCAGCGTTCCATCTCCAGAACCCACCTGGTGGAAAGACCCAACTCCAGCAAGTTGTCTTTTGATCTCCATACGTATGCCCACCCCCCCACACACATACACATAAATACATGTGAACTTTTAAAATAGAAATCCTATGAAGAGACACACTATGTAGCACATGCAAGGCTCTGGGTCGGAATATTTGGGATATGAAAAAAGGAGCACTATTCGGGAAGAGGGAGGGGGTCAGCCAACAGAGAGGCAGCGCGAGAGAAGGGCGAGTGACTGAATGCATTTACACAAACACCAGAATGAACGCATCCTTTTGTACAACACACTACACGAGCAACTAAAAGGGGGTGCACTGAGCCAGCCGAGGTGGGTGCTGAGATCTGAGCCCAAGACCTGCAAGAGCAGCAAGTGCTCTTAACCACTGAGCCACTGCTCCAGGCCAAAGACTGTGTTTTTACTAATTATGCGTGTATGCGCCCATGGCAACAGTGCATTTGAAGGCTGGAGGAGGGTGTTAGATGCTCTGGAGCTAGAGTTACAGGGCTGGGAATGGAAACCGGGTCATCTTCAAGTTAACTGCTGTCATTCCTCTGGCCTCAAGAGCTTGCTTTCTAAATGTATCTCTTAATGTGTATCTTTTTGTTTGGGGGCATTCACGTGTCATGGCAAATGGGGAGGTCAAAGGACAACTTGTGGGGACCAGCTCCCTCTTTCCAACATGAGGGTCCCAGGGACTGAACTCAGATCATCAGGTTTGGCAGCAGACACCTTTACCCACCGGGGCCACCCGGCCAGTGTCATGACCTGTTTTGTAAGCTACATTTCGACTCTGTGATCTCGATAGACAGTCACCGGCTCCTTCCTTTCTCTCTGGGCATCCCAACATAGAGCCTTTGGCTCCCAGAACACACTGGCTGGGGTGATTCTCAGTCACGTGGAACGGCAACTGCTGTTCGCGCCTAGTGGACAGCGCAGGTGAAGTCTAACCCCAAAGCTTACTCTTGGGCAGAATTATTTAGACTTTGTGTAAAAATGCTGTCTCATTCCTATTTCAAAGTCTTTAGTTTTCAAAATGAAAACAAAACTTTACCAATAAATCCAATTCCTCAAATTAGTTCTTTCAAAGCACGTTTAGGAATGAGATCTCTGAGTGCCAGGCGTTGGTAGCACACGCCTTTAATCCCAGCACTCGGGAGGCAGAGGCAGGCAGATCTCTGTGAGTTCAAAGCCAGCGTGGTCTAGAGTGAGTTCTAGGTCAGCCAAAGCTATACAGAGAAACCCTGTGTTGAAAAAAGAAAAAAAAGAAATGAGATCTGTGGATGGGCATTCCTGATGGACACTCAAGAGAAGAAAAAGCAATTACCTACAATTTTAGACACAGAGGGCTGAAAGAGCCAGGCCTGGGGTGGGGGTGGGAGCCTGTACACTTGCTCAAGGGGTGGAGACAGGAGGATGGCAAGTTCCAAGACAGTCTGGGCTACACAACAAGACCCCATCTCCAACAAGTTAAAAACAAAACAAAAGAACAGAATGAGCAGGTATCTCAGCCAAGATTTTTGGTTTCTGAGTTCTTTGACTCTTACCCTTGGTACCAGCTGCCTTCACACACAGATCTGCCTGATGGAGTTCAAGGCACATTTCTTGAAAACCAAGTACCCAAAATGACAATCACCAGGACAGAAATACCTTGGGGAAAACATGCCAAGGCCAATTAGAGCATCTTGGATTTGAATGACTACGTGGTTGTAGGAGGAGCTGTCAATCCCACAAAGAAAGAGCTCTATGAGGAAGGCTGTCTACCTTCTCACTGGCAAACCTGAGGGCAGACACTGAGGGCAGACACTGAGGGCAGACACTGAGGGCCCTAGCAGTGAAGTATCAGCAACCACTCTCCATATAAATCAATTCCAAAGTTTATTAGACATAGAAAAAACATTTCTCAAAGTCAATTCTTGTGAAGTTCTCTGTAAAACAATACACATGAACAGAAAATCACTACACTTTTTGGTCCAAGATATGTTGGGTCTTTTCCTTCTTCTTCAGATGACAGATGGATGTAGCCAAATCTATGAGCGCGTGTACTTGCCCCAAATGTGCAACATAAACACAGAAGCGATGAACAAAAGACTCATCACCAACACTGGAACAGGGCCACTAGAATGAGAAGAGAAGGCATGCTTACTTCAGGAACAAGGTGTGCTTAATACAAGATGGCCTGAGGGCAAAGTGGGGACATTGTTTATGTCACCCAATGGGATTCCCAAAACCGTTACTGTGGACAAGCAAGTGTGATAATGGCACTTATTTGAATGAGGTGCAGTCTCCTCGTCTGTGGAAACAGCAAATTATACACAAACAGATCCATCTCTCAGATACTCTTAATTTTGTGTACTTAATATGCTCTACAGTAAAAAGAAAATTTCCCCAAACTCTTCCGTGCATATGATCCATTTATAAAGCTTCTCAAATTAGCATGTATTAAGACAACCTTTTCTGTCTAACTACAGTGTGTGAGACACACAGATGGATTATCACATTACATAATTTACAAAATGCTTTTAAATCAATGATCCCATTCAACCTGCACAAACTCATGAAACAAGCGAGACAGTATTAATCTCATTTTATACGTAAGGAGATTTGAGGCTCAGAGAGATTCTTGCCTGAACACACACAGAATAGAAAAGAGAGGCCTGCACTTGGCCTCGCTGATTGTGCCCATCAGGCTCATTTGACCTCCTGGAAGTTTGCTTTTGCTTGTTTTGTTAAGACAAGGTCTCTCCGTGTAGACCTGGCTGTCCCAATTCTTACTCTGTAGATCAGGCTGGCCTTGAACTCACAGAGATCTGCCTGCCACTGCCTCCTTAGTGCTAGGACTAAAGGCGTGCACCACCACACCCAGCAAACTTCTAATCTTAACACCACATTGCAGGCAGTGTACACTGTTAACTTACATTCATGGCCTTTGTGTAGAAAGGGAACAGATCTCCCTCATCTGCCCTTCCTTAAATCAAATGCTTTTCCTGTAGAGAACTGGCTTACACGTTTCTTAACAGGAGGACCTGTGACTGCACACAGCTGTGAACACTGCCCACACCAGGTTTGAAGAATTCAATACATGTCACTTCACCTCCAGATACAACCAGGGACAGAGGGCAGAGATATCAGAAAAGGCTTCTTTAGTCATCAAGGCATTACCAGGACCCAGGGTGAGGTCCAAGCGCACCAGATGGACAATAAACAAGGTCTCTGCTCCATCAGTCACAAGTGTGTACAACTGGAGTAAGCAAGTTTACAAGGATATGGAGAGAACACCACCACACTACACTTAACTGCCCCCTTCCTGCTACCACTGCTAACCTCAGCCAGAGCACAGAGCTGAGGATCCAGTCCTCAGGAGCCACAGTGTGGATGCCTGCCACTCACAAGCTTGCCTGTGGCCTTACCTTCAAGTCTGTCTCCCCATCTGTAAGAGGTTAGCACAGCACAAGATTTACAGACACACACAGGTAGACTCAAAGCAGGCTCTCAGGACACATTATTATCAACCTGAAAATCTTACTAACCCCCCAGAGTGAGCCAAAAGCAAGCTCAAAGGTGTTAGCTAATGGTAGATTTGTAGGCGGAATTCTCAACTATGTCCTGTCACGGAAGCATATTTCTCGGGTATGACTGGGATACTGCTTATGAAACTACAAGGGACAATTTTACCAGTTCCTGAGAGGACCTGAGCAGCACCAACGGAAGGGTCCGCAGGGCAAGCATGAGCCAGACTAGCCCACAAGGGTTTCCCATCTTCCTGAGAAACTTCAAGTGAGTTCCAGGGCCACCAGGAAGAGAAAGGGATAAATACAAGAAATACAAGGTTCCTCCCCCGAGACTAAGAAAATCACCTCATCAAAGGCTGTCAGAATGCCACCAGCTCACAGACCCTCAGCCGAAGAACAGCTTCCTAAATGCATGCTCCCTAAATACATTCTTACAAGTCACCTGCATGCTTGGGGGGGGGGGGTAGGGGACCAGCCAGACACAGTCACACACATCTGTAATCCCAGTGCTCGGGAGGCTGAGGCAGAAAGATGATGGTAAGGTCCAGATTAGCCTAGCTACCCAGTAAGACCCTGCCCCCAAAAGAAAAAAAAGAACAAAACTGTATCAGGAAAAACTTCAATAAATGAATGAAACCAAATACCAGAGACTGCAGGGAACTCTTCATAAAATAAATCTGCAATCTAGGCCAAGTCAATTAAACTGGCTGCATTTTTGTCTGTTCTACCAGACAGGCAGCAGGGAGGTGTGGCCTCAGTCAGGTCTGCCCTGCCTCCTATCATTTGTGTCCGAGCACCTCACTGGCCGAGATTCCCCATCTGCAAAATGGTGCAGTTCCTACCTCAGGGCTGCCAGTCAGATCAAAGAAAACGCTACACAAAGGAGATTTGCTGTTATCACTTTATCCCTTATCCACGGGGTTTAGTCAGGAAACAGCAGGAAAGAGTGTCATGGTACCAGACACGCTGGCCTAAGAGGTAAGCCCAGGACAGAAGTTGCCTGGACAGTCACTCCTCATCAGGCCATGAGATGGGCTAAGCTTGGAAAGTGATGCAGTCACACACACACACCCCCACTCCCCCCACCCCACCCCACCCCCCGGGTCTGCTGGCCACTCCCCCACAGCAAGGAAACCAAGGAACTTTAGGTAACACCACATAATGGGAAATTTCCATTAGGCTGTAATAATATCAGCTCCCACCTCAGGGCAACTTTGAAAAATCACCCCATTTCCAATCAGATGGCTCCTCCCATTTCTCTGTGTGGGGCTGGTGCATCGAATGAAGATGGACCTCCTCTAATCAAGCAGCTTCCCTCCATTTCTCTGTACCCATCACCTCCCTGACGCAGGCACAGGAGGCTCTTCTCTTCTTTTCAAGCTCCCGGAAAGGTGTCATTCAGAACCCTACTCACTTGATGCACAGGCAAGCCAGACCCGGCCCAGCTGACACAGACAGCTGCGTGCTATGTCAGGGACACACTCAGTCACCAGGACAGACACCCCACACGGCTGCTCCACGACTTACACTTTGAGCCCAGGGGAATCCTCTGTGTAGAATCTCCACATTCCCCCAGTCCCTGCAGAGGTGGTGCGGCCTGCACTCCGAGTCCCACAGCTGGCATTTTTCCTGAAAGGGATAAAAATATCATTACCAGCCTTTTAATAACATATGCTTATAGTATACAGGCTTTCTTAAAAACAAAAGCAACCTGTAAGACGAAAAGCCTTGTTTCCTAGAATAAACTCAAAGCCTGCCTTCACCTGTCTGATCTTATGTTCCATGGACTGAGAACTACCTGTCATGCGTCAACGTGTACAGTAACTGCCTTTGCCATGTATAAGCAGGAGCAACTATCTCGGCAATGGTTAAGCCGACATATGAACCCAGATCTGGCCGCAGAGCCCGTCTGCTGCTTACAACATCTAGCCTTCTCAATGAACACTGCACCTCAGCCTGTCTTCACAGGGATGTCTGTGAAATAAAGTAATGTACCCCATCTATAAATGCCCTTAGTATATAATTTCATTTTGAAAAGACTACTTTAAAAGATGGCTTAAAATGACTGTGTTTGCTGCAAAAATTAAGAAAAAGCAATAAACTTTAGTCATACCAAGGCCCCCAAAATGGAGAATGCACATGATGAATGATTACTTTGAAACCTTGAGCTGTTTTGATACACTGACCACAGCCTTGCAGAGGGGCAGGATGTGAAAGCAGAAAATATGTAACCAGAACTTGTCCTTGGCAAAAGGATGGAACTGGTGCATGGAGCCATCGTGGCACACTGAGCAGACGTGGTTCACTTAGGACCAGGACCAGACTCTTCAGGAATAGTCCTCCTGGGAGCGGGGCATTACCCCAGCCCTGTGCTAGGGTGGCAAGGCCTGGACAGCAGGCGCCAAGAAGAGGATCCGAGTGAAGTTTTCTCAGCCATTTATCACTGTGCCAAAAGTGGTGGGTGTGGGAAAAGAATGCAGAGCGCCCTGCCCCACCGAATCCCAATATTCCCTCCCTTAAAGTCCCATTCCTGGGGGGCGCTGCTGAGTCTTGACTAGTCCGAAAGCCCATCCCACTCCAGCATGGTCTTGGCAAGACATTCTGAATGCAGAAATCCTGTCTGCAGCTAAGGAAGCTCATCCTACACGTGACAGAACAGAGCCTTGGTTCCCGCCCGGCCTGGCTTCAATTGTGCTCATGACAGAAGTCTGAAGGCAGTCAGTACCAGTGATTTGTCTACTCTGCTGGAGAAGGACATCTCAGATACATTAGTTACAGGCTACAGTAGCCTGGAAACAAACAAGTCTATGTATGACTGCTTCTGCAGAAAGACCGGCTGAAAACAGCAAAAAAGATGTACAGGGTTTGCAGAGTAACTCACGCTCTTAGAAGGCTTCTCCAAACAGGTATGTCTCTAATCTGGAGGGTGGGTAGGTACCTGAAATCTCTTCTGTTTATATAAAGGGAGTTGAGCCAACAGATAACCTCACGTCCACAAGGGAAGTTATCACCTGAGCTACAACTACACTATCTGTACAGCCCAGAACACAGCTGTCTTCAAAGCTGGGATTTCAAGATCCTTAGAGGAATCTGTAGTGATGTTTTCTTGTTTTTACTCCTGCTGCTGGCATTGGGACAGAACAGAGAACCTGAAAATCAGAAATACTGAACTGTGCTCACAATGCCCCTCCCTACCTTATCTGGGAAGCTAACTGAGATGCCTAGCCGAGCCCACACTAATCTCTTAATCTTCAATGGAGTCTGCATCTTCTCTCTGTCCCTGAACAAGGTGCCTCTCACCCTAACCATGAGCGTGCTTTGGTCTGCTGCTATGACTGGTGGCACTTGTGGCCCCAGATCACTATCTGTACACTTAGCGTTCCTTTTGCCTAGGCAGCCTGTCTCCCTAGACCACAGAATCACTAGGTCCCTGTATCTCACGGGTCTTCACTCAGGAGCACTCACCATGAGCACCAATCCCACTGTCTATCCTCACTCCAGCCTGACCCTCCCCAGCTGCCTCCATTTACTGCCTCTCCCTTGAAATTACTTATCATCGTCCCATCTCAGCAGCAAGTAACTTTGAGAACACTACATCCCCTTTCCCTACTGTTGATATTACAGGACAATTTACACCTGCTAGGGTTAGTTTTCAATTACTTAGGGTTGGGATTGGAAGGAGGTGTACAGACTTGGGCATCTCTTTCAGATAAGTTTAAGGTTTAGACCAGATAGATATGTTTAGAATATAGGTAGATTATAATTAATTTATCACCTTCTATGTATATATGCTTTATATTTGTTTGAGACAATTTAGTTTAATCTTTTCTTTAGACTAAAAGGGGAATTATAGGGAGAGATCTCACAAATCTGCAACATTACATGACCCATTTGGCCTCCCACACTGTGAAAAAACTCACAGAATGCAGATCAAGGACTCCAACCCCAGCTGAACCTTAAATCCTACATATTTTTTCTCTGAGGCATTATTACTTCATTCAGAGAGAGATACAAATTGGACACTAGGTAGTCCAAAGCATCCCTAACCATAAACTTCAACCTCTTCTCAAGGAACAGACACATTGTTACACAGCCAACAGTGACTGCAATCATCTAAACAGAAACAAGTTTCCAGAATGAATTTTGTACAGTCTCTCCATGCATATAGCCACAGGCTGTCTAATTTCACTGGCCCTACAATACTAGATCCTAAAGGACACCAGCCACACCCATAACCTTAGAAGCTGCATCCGTCACTTCATTTATGCACTAACTCTCATTTTTATTCATCCCACTTTGACAATTTGATAAATAGGTGCCTTCTGGTTCTTTAGAAGTTCTCAGATGACCGAACTTCCCTATAAACTCTTGTTGAACAAAAAGAACAACCCCCAACAACTACCCACACCTACAAGACAATCACAGAGTCTGAACCCCCAGCTAGCAACAACACATGACCCCAGCCCAAACAACCTACACTGTAACTCAATACACTTCCTTTGAGTATCATACCGACAGAACACTGTGACCATTCAGGATCATCTTAATGTTCCTGACAGTTCTGTTACAGCATCCTTCTCTGAGCTGTTGCAACATGTTCAAACCACCTAGTCTAATTTCACTGCCTGGATTTAGATTTTCCTGCCACAGTCAACAATAAAGTCCTTCACATCTTCTCTTACTGCTGTTTGTGTTGTGTTGTGTGTGTAGTGCTAGAGATCAAGTCCAGGGCCTTGCACACACTAGGCAGGCTCTCCACTACTGAGCTCTACCCCCCACCCCCAAGCCTTCCTCTTGGGGTACCTAAGCACAGCTTTAAAGTTCCCCCGTCTACTCCTCTCTAGGAAAACGCCTTCCTAGCTGTTCCAAAAACACAATGATAGGGTTGACCAATTCCTTCAGCTAACATTTACTATGGCACGATTTAAGACAGGAGCTGGGAGAGACTTGGGCAGATTTCTGTCGAAGCAGAGGAGATGAACATGTAAACATAAACAGTTTCACACTATTAACAAAACTATAATCCTAGCACCTGGGAGGTGAAGGCGGTGGTTTTTAATTCAAGCCTGAACTATGTGAACCTGTCTAAAAAGAAACTAAATAATAGTTGAGAAGACAGCAGACCTAATGAGGATATGGAGCTCAGAAAATGATAAGTTCAGGATTGCTAGACCACAGCGGAGCGAGAAGAGGCCTGGGATTCCTCCACAGGCTCCCTTTTTAGCATGCAGCCACCGGGAGCTTACAGAGAACCTAAGTGGAAGAGAAACAGCGGGCTGGAGGATGGGCCGTGGTCCAAACGCAAAGGAGAAGAGGGCTAAACTGGATGACAGAAATGGAGGAAGAGAAGTAACGAGAATTCCTCCCGCGAAGCCGGGCATGGCTTGATAGAGAAGACACAAGAAATACCAAAGACGGGAGTTTCCAGTTTTCTGTAAATTAGCATAGAGCAGTTTAAAAGTTAGTTTAAAAATAAGGAGACACTGAAGCTGGGAAACGGCTGAGGTTAGTTAGGAGTACTTGTTGCTCTGGCAAAGGTTCCCAGATCGGTCCCCAGCACTCATATGGTGGCTCACAATCATTCATAACTGCAGCTCCAGATGGCGTGATGTGCTCTTCTGACCTCCGAGGGTACCAGGCAAGACCATGACACACATACACACACGTACATACACACACGCACACACACACACGCACACGATCCAAAATGGCACACGAACAGCTGGGGATGAGGAACTATGCTGCCAGACTGTTGTGTAAATGTAAACCAAATTTTGTCAAACTGAGTGTGTACTGGACCTCCCGGTGGAAGCTTGAAAGGTAAGGCCCCAGAGACACCAGCCTTATGTCATCGCCTTTCCCAACGCCGGTACTGACCTGACCGCAGTCTGGTTTAACTTCCCTTTCACTAAAGTGGTGTGTGCAAACTGATCCAGGAGCAGAAACCGAGGCCTCCCGCCGACAGGGCCTTTAACGACCGGATGGCCACGTCAGCTCAGGCTCACCCGGCCCCTGTGAAATCTTCCCTTCCTGGAACTTCATCCCCCGGTGCGATTCCCGGGCCCCTGCCGCGGGGCCGCCCCAGGGACCCTTACCTCTGCCGGACCGTGGATCCCGCCGCCCGCGCGGCCACCGCTTTGCTGGGAGAGCGCCCTGAGGAGCCCACGTTGGTGCCACTGGGCGTCGGACCGGGCTGCAGGGAGAAGCGGACAGAATGTGAGCATCGAGGACCCTCTCAGACCGCCGGCCCCGCGCCCACCCGGGAACCTGAGGAAAGCAGGGAGATCCCGGAGAGGGAGGGAGACCACGGCAAGAGCCGGAAGCGGGGGGGCGCGCACCATGCTGATGCCGAAGGACGGCGGACGCAGACGGTACCGGAGGGAAAGCCGGAGAGCTGCGAGCACTCGAGCACCGCGGAGACAGGCTCTGGCGCCGCCCCCCGCCGGCTGGCAGGGTCTTCGCAGACTCGAGGAGGTCTGGGCTGTCCTAGGATATGCCTGCGGAGAGTATGCCGGGAACAACAGAGCCGTGCGGGAAAACGTAGGCCTCTCGCTTCTTTCACGTAACCTCAGAGTCCTCCACGGGGACCACTGTCGCCGAATGAGAAGCCTTAGGCACGGTCACGCGAGAAATGTAGTCAGGCATCGTGTTAGCGCCCACAAGTCTGGCCGCTGATGTGTCCTAAACTGACGCACGCACGCGCACCAGGGCTGGGTCGGCTGTCCGCGGCTCGCTGCGCCAGGGGCGGAGATTGCAGAGGCTCGCGCTCAGGGAGCGGGCGCGGCTGCTCGGCCATGGCCGAAAACCTGTGCCGAGCCCGGGCCCGGATTTATCCCCCGTCTGTGCTCTTCCTGCACCCCGATCTGGGCGTGGGCGGTGCCGAGCGGCTCGTGCTGGACGCGGCCCTGGCGCTGCAGGAGTACGGCTGTGACGTGAAGATATGGACGGCGCACTACAACCCGAACCACTGCTTCTTGGAGACCCGCGAGCTCCCGGTGCACTGCGCCGGGGACTGGCTGCCCCGCAGCCTGGGCTGGGGCGGCCGCGGCGCCGCCATCTGCGCCTACGTGCGCATGGTCTTCCTGGCGCTCTACGTGCTCTTCCTCTCCGGAGAGGAGTTCGACGTGGTGGTGTGCGACCAGGTGAGGCGCCCCCCGAGTCGTGACCGGGGCAGGGACCTCTGTCTGGTCTAGGTCTTTTTTTTTTTTTTTTTTTTTATTTATTGGAACTGTCCAGCAGGAGTCCTCAGGGAGACAACCGTCAGTTTTAGTATGGATCCTTTAAGTCGCAGATCGCAGGGATCCCTCCTCCCCCTCCCTACCGTTGAAGGCCCATGAGCTAGAGCTCACATGCCTGCATTTTAAATAAGGTTAGTCCTGGGAATAAACTAGTTGGGCCCCGGGGGGCTGGCATTAAAAGTCACCTTCCGTCACTCCTTGTAACTAACTCCGTTTGTTCCTCTCCGTTATTCCTATTGTTGCTGCTTCCAGGCCGCATCCATCCCACCCTGTCCAGACTTCCTAATCCCGACACTCCGGGATTCAGCAGTGCCACGGATTAAAATCAAGTTAGACATGTGTCCCTATTAAAACTTTACCATTGCCCCCTTTGATCTTGGGGACATTTGTTGTGTTATGTCTTCCTAAGTGGCCCCAGGCTGACCTCCTAATTTGACACCCTCTTGCCTCTACCCCTCCCAAGTGCTAGGTTTATAATATAAGCCACCTTGCTGGATTGAAGTCCAAGATTTGAATAAATAGCATTCAGCCCTATAGTCATACTAGACTTGTTTCATAGGTGTTTTTTACTACCCAGGGTTTGGGGGTTGGCAGGAGGATAGTGGGTATATTTGTGTCTGCACAGGTATCTGAGCTTGCATGTAGAAACCATCAATGTTGGGTATCTTCCTCAGTCAGTCTCCACCTGAACATTTAAATCGGGATCTCTCGCTGAACCAGAAACTGAAAGAATCGGCTAGACTTTCAGACAGGTGTATACTGCCATAACCTGGATTTATGTGGGCAGTTGGAATCCAGCTCAGATCCCCACTTTACCAGGAGCCAACTCCTCAGCCCCACACTTTTTTTTTTAATTGCGAAGTAACGTTTACTCAGGAGTAAAAGTTCAAATAGGAAGTTTGATATAAAAGTTCCCTGCTCTGTCCTTGAGAGAGCCACTGTCAACACTTTCTTCTGCACCCTTCCAGAAACGATGTGTGGCCATTGTAGCATGTGTGCGTCTGTTTTCCAGCTGCGTCTTACCTGTACATAACTGGGATTCAGTTTACCTGCTGTTGGTCACTTTGCCTTTGCTCTTCAAATATTTGAGACATCCTTGTTTATTGATACTCAAGATCCACATCAGTCCCCTTTATTCAAGCATACCATAAATGTTCCTGTTTTCCAGAAAGGACACTAACATTTGCAGCCTGTGTATGTGTGTCTAGATGAGACATCCTCTTTCTGCATTCAAGGTGATGTCCCCATACTAATCTCACTTCATACACATGTCCTCCGAGGAAACACTGGGCGGGGCGGTGGAGGGGATGGGGGAGTCACAGAGTGGTTCACTGAAAATGTCAGTAGTAGTTTCCAAATTTGTCACTTTGTTTTCCTAGTCTGCACTAGACTACCCCATGCTCTTACCCACAGTGGACACTGCCAGCCATTGTGTGCTAACCAAACCAACAGGTGGAAACAGCCACAATTGCTCTGGGGTCCAGTGCTTACTGATCAGCCCTGAGGAAGTGTGTCTTCATGGTTAATGTAGACATTTACCCAGATCCTGTGAATCAGTGATGCCAGGCGGCTGTGCTGTCACCAAGAAGTGATTGTGGCCGTGGCAGTTGATGTGACTAGTCCCTTACCTACTGTCGGTTTTGCCTTGGTTAGGTGTCTGCTTGTATCCCAGTGTTCAAACTGGCCAGACGGCGTAAGAGGATCCTGTTTTACTGTCACTATCCGGACCTGCTGCTTTCCAAGAGAAATTCTTCTCTTAAGCGCTTCTACAGGGCTCCCCTGGACTGGATCGAGGAATACACCACAGGTATGGCGGATCGCATCTTGGTCAACAGCCAGTACACCGCTTCCGTCTTTAAGGAGACCTTCAAGACCCTGTCTCACGTAAACCCCGATGTCCTCTACCCGTCTCTGAACATTGCCAGCTTTGACTTGGCTGTTCCTGACAAGATAGATGACCTCGTCCCCAAGGGAAAGCAGTTCCTGTTCCTCTCTATCAACCGTTTTGAAAGGAAGAAAAATCTGCCATTGGCCCTGAGCGCCTTAGTCCAGCTTCGCGCCCGGTTGCCGTCTCAAGACTGGGAGAAGGTTCATCTGTTCATGGGTGGTGGTTACGACCACAGAATCCTGGAGAACGTGGAGCACTATAAGGAGTTAAAGAAAATAGTCCAGCAGTCAGACCTTGAGCGTCACGTGACCTTCCTGCCGTCCTTCTCAGACAGGCAGAAGATCTCCCTCCTCCACGGCTGCCTGTGTGTGCTCTACACTCCGAGCAACGAGCACTTTGGCATCGTCCCTCTGGAGGCCATGTACATGCAGTGCCCCGTCATTGCTGTTAATTCAGGTGGGCCCCTGGAGTCTATCGTCCACAAGGTCACGGGGTTTCTGTGTGAGCCTGACCCAGTGCACTTCTCGGAAGCAATGGAAAAGTTCATCCACAAACCATCCTTAAAAGCCGCGATGGGCCTGGCTGGGAAAGCCAGGGTGGCAGAGAAGTTTTCCGCCGAAGTCTTTGCAGACCAGCTCTACCAGTATGTCACCAAACTTGTGTAGTCAGGGGAGTCTATAGTATGGGGCCTGTATGCTACATGCTCTGCAATCTTTATGGGTTGTAGAAGCACCTCTGAAACCAAAAAAAGGAGCTAGAAACTAGTGCTAGTGAGATTTTTTTCTTTTAAAGTAGACTTGAGTCTTGAATGTGAGCCCACTGTCCACCATCCCTACCTGTTATTTTCTGAAAATATCCTTAATGCTATAATCATTCCACATTTCTTCGATGTTTGTGAAAGAATGGTAGAAATCTGCTGCTAGCAGACTATTTTAATTCTATTTTTCTGGATTATTGTTCCTTTATATATAAAGGTTTAATCATCCAGTGCCTTAATTGGCTTTAATAGTTAAGTCTTAGCATTGTCACAGTTGATTGATTTGACTTCAGCGTGCAATGGAAACGGGACTATTGTCAGTTCACTTAAAGTGTTCTCTGTTAGCTGCTAGGAAATTTTTGTTTGATTTTTGCCAGAATCCATAACAAGAGTGCTCAGTATTATTTATTGTTTATGGGTGGGGGTTGGTTTTTGTTTTGTTTTTTTACTGCAAGTGGACAATAAAATATGTTTGACATAAGAAAAGATTAAAATCGCTGGGCGTTGGTGGCGCAAGCCTTTAGTCCCAGCACTAGGGAGGCAGAGGCAGGCGGATCTCTGTGAGTTTGAGACCAGCCTGGTCTACAAGAGCTAGTTCCAGGACAGCCTCCAAAGCCACAGAGAAACCCTGTCTTGAAAAACCAAAAAAAAAAAAAAAAAAGAGAGAGAGAGAGAGAATAAAACATTAGATCTGGGCCTTCATGCTGATTTTATCTTGCTGAGTAATGAAACCCAAAGTCAGAAAACAGGTATACTAGACAGTTGACACGAAGAAGGACTATCATCACATGTGTTGGGTTACTGTATCAGAGATTACCCATGTTTGATCCTATTTCTTTGAGCCTATGGCAGATCAGTGTTTATGACAGGAACTCATGGTAGAGGAGGCAACCAGGAAGCAAAGAGATAGAAAGGTCCCAATTCCCCTTCTAGAGATCACCCTGATGAGCTAATTTCCTTCCACTAGTTCTTCCTACTAAAAGTTCTGTCACCTCTCAGTAGCATCATGGGCTAGGGACGAAGCCCTTCAGGGCACAGGCCTTTGGGGATGTATTAGTCAGGGTTCTCTAGAGTAACAGCACTTACAGAGTGAATCTCTCTCCGCATATATACATATATGTGTATATATAAGAAACTTATATATACCACATATGACTTACTGCAGTCCAGCTAATCCAATGATGGCTGTCTGTGAATGGGAAGTTCAAGAATCCAGTAGTTTCTTGGTCCATGAAGCTGGATGTCTCAGCTGGTCTTCAGCATGCTCTGGAATCCTGAAGAAATAGGCTCTAATGCCAGTGAAGAAATGGACTTGCTAGCAAGGCGAAGACAAGCAGGCAGAGTGCAAAGGCTTCCTTTCAAATTCTTGTATAGACTTCCTGGAAGGCGTGGCCAGATTAGAGGTGTGTCTTCCCACCTCAAGAAGCAAGATCTGCCTACTTCAAATTAAGCAAAAATCCCTCACAGATGTGCCCTCTAGTTTTGGATTTTAGTTCATTCCAGATGTAGACAAGTTGACAACCAAGAATGACCATCAGAGGGGACATTCAGCATCTAAACTGTATACCAAGCATCGTGTTTCAGACATGTTCCTTAATGTCGCTGAGTCGCCAGCTCTCTTAGTGTTTGTCATATATTCTCTCCCGAGTTTAGCATGCCAGTGTTTCCTGTCCCTCATTTAAATGACTTTGTGTGAAGCTTGCTTGAACCTCTGCTCCCCTCTGAACTCTATCCCTGTGACCCTGCCCCGTCGCAGTGATTCATTGTTTACCTGTTGCTTGTAAGTACAAATATTAAAGCAATTTTCAATTTGCCTTTAATGTTAAATTCACCTGTAAGGATATAATAATAATAATAATATATAAATACCAGCAGTCGAGTGGTCTTTTTTATGGTTGAGAGCAAAGCTCAATAGCCTGCCTGCCATAGAGAAAAATAAGCTTTGCACACACCTGAACCTCTTAACCTGTAGAGTGGGGTAGTTGTCCAGTGGCTTCTGGAAGAGTGGGTATGATGGTGGCTGATTTCAACAGTAGACACAGTGCAGAATCAGTACTTGGTGTGTGGTCAGTGGACATTTAGCTGCAGCCACTGCCTTTTCAGGAGATTGAAAAGGACTAGAAGTTTCATGTGGGCACAGGCCACACCACAAGACCACTTTGTTGAGGTTTCTTAGAGATGCAATTTTAGTTTAAATCTGTATCTTGGGAATATTTTTACCAGGTGTCACTGTACCCAAAAAAAAAAGCTTCATCAAATAAGGATGTCACACCAAATTCTGTGGAATTTCGTTTTCTTAGTGTTATGAAAGACCCAGTAAAGTGTGTCTTCCCTGTTCTGTGGTTTGGTTCATGTGTATTTGAGAATTACAGCCTTTCAGGTAAACCTGGCGGCTCTGTGTCGGGCCCATGCGTTCCTGAGATGGGGAGTGTAGATTGAGGAAAGAAATAGACCAGAGACAGTAGTTAGAATTGGGACGGCACTCAGTGAATACTGAAAAAAGCCCCAAGCTTATTACTCATAGTTCATATATACCCCAATCAAAAGGGGAGGGCAAACGACTTCCTTATCGTGGTATATGGAACAAACATAATTATCTTCCCAATACCCAAAACATCTGGTTACCACACCCTAAGTCAAACATCCTGTAATTTGGTCAAAACATACAGTAGCCATACCTTTGGCCAAAAATCCTACTGTTTAACCTTGGAACAACAAGAATGGGTTTGAACTCTGACCTTAAGTCACATATGGAACGGAACCATGTCTGTGGGCTCCCACAGCTCTGATCATTTGATTCAAGACTGGTGGACCTGGCCACATGATCTGTGGCAGCTGCTCACTCCAAACACAAAATCTATTGCTACTTTGAATGTTTATCCTTCTAAAATGAGCTCTAGGTTCCTGGGACTTCTCTTCCTTGTCCTGAGCCCCCATGGGTAACAGAAGACTTCACAGGCCTGGAGAGACCTGCCTACTCCAAATGCCTTAAGGGCTCCTCGACACACAGCTAAGGGTGGAGTTTTGCCTTCAGGGTATCCAGAATTTGCAAAATTGCATCCAGTAGGGAACTAGCATGGATCACTGGAACTGTGGCCTCCTTGATAGTAATTCTAGCATTAGGGAGTCAACCCTTCTCAGTATGCTGTCAAGATGTACAGTAGACATCCATTTAATCCTTGCATGAAACCCAGTGTTCCTTGGCCAATCACCGTGGGTAAACTACGTCAGCCTGTAAAGGTAGGCAGAACCTGAAAATTCTGATGCCTAAGCACCACCCTACCTGACGGCCTCACATCTCCCTCTGCAGCGCTGCCCCTGGGCTTGCTCAGGCCCTTAGACTCAGAAAGGCTTCACCTCTACTCTACCCCCTGATCCTTAGTGGTCTGAGATTGATGTAATTCTCCTAACATCTCCACAAAGCCCAGAAAAGGGAAAGCCGTGACCAAGTGTGCGCAATTGGAAAGCGGGCAAGCCAGGGTTCAGTCCATCTTGCCTCGAGGCCTTACGCTGACCAGGATTCCTCAGGTTTGCTCCTCTTGAGACACAAATGTCACATGTCCCTTGTACATGCACACCCAGCGACTCAATGACTGGCTGTAGTATTGCTGTCCTTCCTGCCTGGTGGTGTTCGCATGGCCCCTGAGCCTTTCCTGTTGGCCTAAAAGCTTGCAGAGCTCACTCACCCTGGGCTGCCCTGGGCTTCCTTCCCAGAATCCTTCAAAGGCATTGACAAGACACCTTGATCAGATTCTGGGGGATCAGATACACAGCTGGGAGGCAGTGGTGCTGTAAGCGAAGCCCGGGTTTGGGGACAGCCCAGGACAAGTTTCTCGGTTTTGTAGATGCCTCTTCTGCAGCGCCTCAGCTCCTTCCTCCCAGCCGCTGAGGGCACCTCTGGGCTCCACCTGTTCTGCTCAGACACGGTTGCCTCCCTTACTCACCCAGCCAGCCAGTCCCCTTGTCCTGAGTCCAACAGCTGGCAGCAGGTCTTCACACCTGCCACTAACTACCCCGAGATGCTTTTGTGCATTTCTACAGAATCTGACAGACTCCAGGGGTCACCCAACCTAATTTGCTCTTACTCAGGTGAGTAGCAAGCCCAGGGGGAGCAAGGGACCCGCCTGTAGCCACTTGGATGGACAGCTGCAGCCTCCTTTGTCTTCTTTGTGGACCTCTCTCCCAGCATCTGCGCTATACCTATGCTCACTTATCTCTTGCCACTCAGAGCTTGCTCCTTCATTCCTAACCCAAGCCAAGCCCCTGCGGCTCCGTGCCTCATGGAGGGCCACCAGTGCCTGCACGTCATGTCATGTAGGTAGAGGGAAAGAGCCTCCCTAATGACAGGTGACTTTTCAAGCTGTCTGGTTACACAGTCGATACTGGATGGGAAGAGCAGAAAGAGGAGTCTACCAAGCCAAATGGAGCCAAAGGTGTTGGAGCCAGCAGCTCCCCAGGGATCCACAAGACCAAGGGCAATCAGGGAAAAAGGCATCCAGGGAGGGGAACCAGGCCAGGTATTTTTGTTTGTTTTGGCTCATTTGTTTGCTTTGCTTATTTAGTCTTAGTGGGAAAGCTAGCAGCCCTGATTTATTTCACGGCGTATACATGTATTGAAAACATGCTATACTATAAATACATATGATTAACATGGGATAACTAAAAACGTTTTAAGCTAGATTATAATGGCGCATGTCTGAGTACCACCACTTCAAGGCTGAAAGAGAGAGAATGAGAGAGAGAAATGGGCCCATGAGCTGAGTCTGTGGGTAAAAGCACTTTCCAGCAAGCATGACATCCTGAGTTGCGTCCATGAGACCCCCATGGTAGAGTGGACTCTCACAAGTTGTCCTCTGACTTCCACACCCATAAACAAACGTTAAAGAAAAATTTTAATTGAAACAAATTTTTACCTGAACATTGTGATATATGACTTTAGTCCCAGCTCTTCAGAGAAACAGCACTAGGTGGATCACTGAGTTCCAGGCCAGCCTGGGCTACATAGCAAGTTCTGGGTCATCCACTGTTACACAGTGAGGCCCTTCCTAAAAATACTTTTAAAGAGTTTTGCCATTTTAAAGAAATGAGGGTATAGGTGGCTGCTGTTTACTCTTTTACTCTTTTGAGGGGCCCACCACCCAGCTTCCAAATAAATCACACACACACACACACACACACACACACACACACACACACACACACACACACACACTTATTCTTACTTATAAATGCCGGGCCTTAGCTTGACCTGTTTCTAGTCAGCCTTTTTTTTTTTTTTTTTTTTTTTTTTTTTTGGTTTTTACGAGACAGGGTTTCTCTGTATTGTTTTCGAGGCTGTCGGTCCAGCCCAGCCTCCAACTCACATCGATCCGCCTGCCTCTGCCTCCCGAGTTCTGGGATTAAAGGCGTGCGCCACCACCGCCCGGCTAGTCAGCTTTTCTTAAATTATCCTGGCTACCTTTTGTCTCTGGGCTTTACCTTTCTCTATTTCTGTGTGTCTTTTCTTTCCTTCTTATCCGGTGTCTGGCTGGGTGACTGGGTGGCTGACCTCTGGAGTCTGCTTCTCCTTTCTCATTCTTTGATCTTTTTCTCCTATTTATTCTCTGTGCCTGCCTATTTATTCTTTCTCCCGCCTTGCTATTGGCTGTTCAACCCTTTATTAGACCAATCAGGTGTTTTAGACAGGCAAAGTAACACAGCTTGACAAAATTAAACAAATGCAACATAAAAGAATACAACACACCCTTGCATCATCAAACAAATGTTACAGCATAAACAAATGTAACACATCCCTGTGCTCGCTTTGGCAGCACATATACAAATGTTATGCATCCCAAACTAATATTCCACAACAGGGTGCTTTGTTTTTTGGTTGAGACAGGGTTTCTCTGTATTATTTTGGAGGCTGTTCTGGAAATCACTCTGTAGACCAGGCTGGCCTTGAACTCACAGAGATCCTCCTGCCTCTACTTCCCGAGTGCTAGGATCAAAGGCGTGTGCTCAGCAACAGGAAGCTTTTTTTAAATGAAACTAAAAATAACCCTACTGTTAACATTTTTTACTGCATAGTATCAGACATTAATATGTGCAACTAGTACATTTTACTATTCATAATAATCTCTTACTGTTATATTTTGAAATTGCTCCAACTTTTTTTGTTTTTTTGAGACCGGGTTTGTCTGTGTAACAGCCCTAGCTGTCTTGGAGCTAATTCTTGTAGCCCAGGCTGGCCTGGAACTCACAGAGATCTGCCTGCCTCTGTCTCCCGAGTGCTGGGATTAAAGGCATGCACCACCACTGCCTGGCTGTTTCAACTTTTTGCTACTGTAAACAGCTCAGTGAAAACATGACAGACTTAAATTCTAAAAGCAAATATTTAAAAATTTGAACAACAAAACTAGAAGGCAAAATCTGGCAGAAAATAGACATGAAAAGAAGATTGTAAACTGTCTGGCATCACACACATAGTCAAGAATGCAAAAATTTGTAAAAACCAAAAATTACTTGCCTTCAATGATGATTTTCAAACCAAATTACCACATTAACCAGCTCAATTCTAGCCGAACTGTAGGTTTCCTTAGCATTGTGAATCCAGAAATCTGAGGCCATTTCAGTTCAATAGAATTAAACAGTGTCATGTGTGAGATCCTGAGAGCCACCCTATGGAACATTGAGTGGTGTGATCTTAATGCTTACAAGTGGCTGGAATCTCAGCTTTAAGCCAAAGAGAAACTAGTGGGATAGATCATACAGTCCAAGGAAAATTAGGCATATACAGGTGGGCCAGTTTAAATGAAAATGCCTCCCCTGTAGGCTCGTAGGGAGTGGCACTACTAGGAGCTGTGGCCTTATTAGAGTAGGTGTGACCTTT